ACTGGGATACTGCCTTTACAAGCTGCAGCTTAACCAATCGTGCCATAAAACTGGTCTACATTTAAACATTTAGAAGATCTTGTGATAAAATTTCTAAAACCTACTTTTCCATGAATAATTTTTCTCTACTTGAATTCCTAGTGTAATGGATCTGTCCATCGTCTGTGACACGGAACTATTACTCTTTTCACATTTTATTTAATTTTCTTATATAACAAATGTAGTGATGCATTCCCTCGATATTCAATAAGCTTTTTGTGCCTGATACAGTCCTTATATGTTTGGGACAAACAATTCATAATTCAAGCTTATTCATTTGAAGATTGCCAGCAGTTTACATCTTTTGGTTAAAGTGCATGTTGGTAAACATTGACATTAGGAGTTTTCTAGCTTCAGAAATTGTGTGGCTGCTCATTTTAATTGATGCTATAGAATAGAGCAGAAGAGAAGAAATAGAAGTAATACTTAGAAGAAATACTTATTCTTAGATGATTGAAAGAATAAATTTGATAATACTTTTAGCTTCTGTGATATCATTTTTAAGCAGTTAGCTTTTATTGAATGAATGTTTATTTCCTCAAGAATCACTCTTATTGACATTTTCATAGTTTTAGCATGTTTTTAAAAGATAACTATACACATCTGGAGAAACAGTCCAACTGTGGTTGTTCTTTCTGAACTGTCACTCGTTAGGCTATGTTCTGCCTTGTTAATGTGTTGATCAGTTTCCGTCTTTGTTATTGCCTATGTCCTGTGAGTTGCTGCTCTGCTCCATTTCATCCATTCCACTCAACTACACATATCAATTTTGGTCACATCATTTCGTGAATGAAATATTAAGCAGAGTGCTTTGCTGCCGAGCACTCAGTGGGCAATGTCTTTCAGTTTTTAAAAAATCATTTGCTTTCTCTGTTTTTTTACATTGTTGATAACTTAATTTCTAATTATTGCACGCAAAAACTATTTGAGAAGTATCTGAACTTCATTTTATGTATTTGCATGTTTGTTTTAATGGCTATATTCATTGCACCACAGTTATATGATGTAATTCATTATGACAAATATACTTATATGCAAATATTAATAATAGAAATGAGATTAAAGTATATTGGAACTTATTGTATGTGTTACTACTGTGATGTTTTAGTTTTGTAAACTTAAAATTAATAATTAAAAAGACAAATGTTCAATAAATAAATATAGAATCTGTATAATTCTTTATTATAGAATTTGACTCTTGAATTCATTTAATGGATTAGCAAAAGTAATCCATGAATCCCTTAAAATAAGCTGTAATGTTTACATTACTTTACATTGCAATTAAAGAGCTTAAAATCACATTTTTTAACCAAAACTTCTATCTTTAAATTACTATCCCTGTTAAACTTGTTTTTATTTGTCTAATCTCATCATCTTCTCAGCAATCGTGTTAATCATATATTTACTGACTGTGAATTTCAATTAGAAACTGTTCATGGATTTATGCCTAGACCTTCAGGAGACCTTTGGTATGTATCAAATGAGACAATCTACTGAATTTGTTTCCTGTCTCTTTATCATTTAAATCATGGAGGGCACAGAGATAAACAAACAGAAAGAAACCCAGAAGTCACAATTATCTCAAATATTTTCAGTTTGGCTGCAACATCTGTATTCAGAGTGCAGACACAGAGTTTCATGTTTCAGTCCAGGGAAAGGGAACATCTCGGAGTTTCAGAAAATCCTGTAAGATCTCAACTTTAAAAACAGTCCTTTCTTGGTGCCCTGCAAACAAAAAGTGAAATAGAACAAAATGTCTGAATTAGACGTCATTCTTTAAGTGGCTCAGTCTGGTCTCCAAAATGCTGGAGCGTTAGCATGTAAAACTATTGCTTTTCTTTTCTTCTCAATTCATTCTGTTTACTAAATAGATCCTATTAATTGAAGGTAAAAGCAGTAACAAGAAGACTGTTAGAGGACAGTGAGGAAAAAAATACTCCCCTCTTCTTTTCTAACTTGTCAAGGACAATCAGCTATTTTCAGTGACTGGTTCTATAGTAACAGCTACAAGTTAGACCATTGATGAGATGGTGCAAATCTAAATTTAGAACATTCACACTGTAGCTCAGTGATGAGACAGTACCTGTCCAACGCAATTTTCATATCTATGAAACTCAGACAGGGGGTTGCTTTTTTTAGTTCCCATTCTATAGAACAATGGTGAGACTATTATGAAAAGCTCCTGCTGCTACTTCTGAGGTAGCTGTGTTGTAGTTTAAAAAAAAAAAAGTCAAATAACTAGCTTCAGAACTAAAAGGTGGGTTTGAGGTTTAGTTCTGACACTACTATGAGTTTGACATTGAGAAAGTCATTTAACCTTTAGTTTCTTGCTGTGTTATTAATGATTCACAAAACTTTTAGAAACAGTGAAGCTAAAACTTAATTAGAATTTTCTTTATTCTGGACTTATTGGTAGAAGTCTCTTAAGCATTGTTTTATATAATCTACATAATAATATATATGAGTGCTCCAGTTTATAGACTTAGAAATTAATATTTCCAAAAGCTAAGGACAATGTGTGCTGTCACACAGCTACTCAGATTTCAGATCCAAACTGACTCTAAAAAGCGTAATAAATACATCGGGTGTATTCTTCTTCTTCTTATTATTATTATTTCAGCAATAAACCTCTTTGGATTTTGAAATAAATCAAGATTTCTTCGAATTCTGCACTCTGATGAGAAGATATAGAACATAGATAGCTGAAAATATCCAAGAAAAAGCACTATATAAATCTAAAATATTGGCAATATTATTACTTTACAGCATTCATATACCATGAAAATTATAGTAATAGTAGTCAAAGTGAAAGATCATTGCCTATAAATGGTCTGGACTTGTTAAACTTCTGGCCTGCAAAATGTTTCCTGGACTGTGAAACTCTAACTAGACCGTAATATTTTATCCTGGATCCCTGGATGTTTACCACAGGGCCTGGAGATTTGGAGTTTGAATGCTCTCCTGTGTAGATGCTGCTTCTTCAATTGTCTGATATAGATCAGATTGGACCTGAGAGCATCAAATGAGCTATGGTCTCTCTGAGATACTGATGCTAAAACCTTCAGATCAAATTTAAAACATATGTGCACTTCCTTTGCTAGGGAATTGATAGTAATTGTATTGCCTTGTTGCATTTCTGTAAGTGTCAGAAAAAAAAAATAGACACATTGAAAAAAATGGTGCTAAAAATTATCAGTGTGATAATAGGTCAAAAGGTTGTGTTTTGTTTTTTAAACATTTTATTGAAATATAGCAAAATACCAAAAAATGATTTAGTGTACAGATAAACAAATTTTTGTTCCTCTGATGATACCTATAGCCAGTACTCAGGTTAACAACATGACAGTACTAGTACCCCGACAGTTCTCAATAGTATCTTGTCGCCTAGCAGCAGTGACACTAAAATGACCAGGCAAGCTCACTCTTGAGGGTCTGGGAAAAGTTGGAACTGCGACCAGACCCCTCACTACCAAAAGCGGCTGTGTTTAAACTCTTATCTCGGCTGCTCCTGTCCCCATTGGTCTAAGCTTTCCTCTTCCGCTTTTATCCATTCCTGTACGCCTTAGCTTTTCCACCCGAAGATCTTAACCGTTCTTCCCCTCTCTGCTGCCCCGTTCTTCCTGTTCTTCCTGTTCATCCGTCGTTCTTTCCACAGTTTTTCTCCTCATCGCCTCCCAGTCCTTCTCCTAGTTACCCCGCAGTCCTCTGTGGTCTGTCTGTCCATCGTCTTCCCCCACCTAGCTTTCACTGGCTATTTTTATATCATTCTCTGCCAATCACTTCTCCCCGTGGGTCCACTTGGCGCTACCTGATAGGCCAGTAGCAATGACATAATTGCAGCGGGGGCATCAGCCTATCCCTGTGACTTCCTGTTTACCTGCTGGGGAGACCAACCCCGCCTCCTGGCCCTGGGCCAGCCGCCATCTTGCAACGGCCCCTCCCAATCCTAGGAGCAGCTTTAGCACCCTGCTCCCCCCAGTATCTATTTATTTTTTTCCCTATTTAAAAAGCATTTGATCTCAAAAACAAATACATTAGCATGGTGTAATGTTCACAATAAGCATACAAATCAAATGTGTGACAAAATGGAATAAAAAGCAAAAGCGTGTGATTGTGAGGTTCTTAGATGTGTGAAGCGCCTTAACATTGCTTTCAGGAAGACAAAAAAGGGCAGATACATATTGCAAACTGCAGGTTGAGCACTAACAGTCAAAACAACAAAACAAAGGAAACAAAAATCCATGAGCCTTGAGCCTAAAGAATACTAAAATGTGTTCAACTAAAATCATAGAAGTCAGGGATGGAGTAATGTAAGGAGCGAACACCAAGGAGACAAATGGAAAATAAATGTCAGAAGGACACCTTCAACTCAAGCTCACTGAATTGCAGCGAAGATAAATATGCTAAGTGTTCCAATTGATTTGCAAAGTGGGTAAAAACAATGATTAATTACATTTTTAAAATCTAACTTGGCTATGAAGTGCCATATGTTTTAGATTAATGTAAAGAGTGAGAGAGTGCTGCTACTTTAGTACCAGTCAAAATTCAAAAATAAAATAAACACAAATATTGTTAGAGATATTTTATAATTAGAAAGTGACTCATTTTTGGAGAAGGAACAGTCATACTAAACAAGTACATAAGCAATAACATAATTTCAAAATAATGAGGGGGACCTATAGAACCAACACTGAAATTGCCGTAAGTATACCAAGAGATTACACTCATTTCTTTCTGTAACTTATAGACAGAATAGATGAACCAAAACTCAACAGGAGCAAAGCCCTTTAACTTCAGCCGCACCTGAATTGAGTTTGATAGCTGAATAATAGTCACATCTTTCAAAGGCCGATTTTTCAACATCAAACATTTGTTGGGATACTACAAAACTCAATATATACAAATATCAAATATAACACAGGGTATATACTGTTGTTACGAGAGAATTATAAATTAACAGCAATATTTGGAAATGAACCAATTCTTGGCATGTTATCCTTTCACAGGGGCCATACTAATTTTCTCTGTATTGTTCCAGCTTCAGTATATGTGCGGTCGAAATGAGCACTAAACAAACTTTCTAAAAAACTTTTTAAAGGTTTATTTGTATTGGAAAGTCGGATATAGAGAGAGGAGAGTCAGAGAGGAAGATTTTCCATCTGCTGGTTCACTCCCCAAGTGGCTGCAATGGCCAGAGCTGAGTTGATCAGAAGCCAGGAACCTGGATCCTCTTCTGGGTCTCCCATACAGATGCAGGGTCCCAAGGCTTTGAGCCATCCTCGACTGCTTTCACAGGCCACATGCAGGGAGCTGGAAGGGAAGTGGGGCCATCGGGATTAGAACTGGCAGCCATATGGGACCTTGGCGTGTGCAAGGTGAGGACTTTAGCTGCTAGGCTACTGCTTCAGGCCCTAAACAATTTTCTAAAAGCTGCTGTTTGGAAAACAGCGATACAGAGAGAGGGAGTGATAAAGAGATAGAGAACTCTATGGTATGCTGATTCACTCCCCATATGATCATAGCTAAAGTTGGGCCAGGCCAATGTCAGGGGCCAGGAGCTACTGGGTCTCCCACCGCGTCTAGGGCCCACATGCTGGGGCCATCTCCTAGTGCTTTCTCAGCAACCTTACTTAGCCCAGAGAGAGCTGAACTGACAGCAGAGAACCAGGGCTAGAATCAGGATTTCCATAAGTGACAGAACAGCTACTGTACCCCAAGCTAGCCTATAACACACATGCAAATAACCTACAGGCATAGGGGAAAAAAAGAACTGAAATAAAATTGGCAAATATTTCAAACTGAAGGAAATAAAATTTGTCGGATTCGATTATGACAAGACTTAAAGGAATTTCCAATTTTAATTCTTACATCAAAAAGAAGGTTTAAAACCAGCATTGGTGCTTATATTTAACAAGGTGGAAAACAGTGAGCAAACTAAATCTAGTTTCAGTAGAAGAAAATAATTAAGAGCAGATATCAACGAAATAAATAATATACCAAGAGAGAAAATAGATTGTATAACGGACAATGCAAGAAATTGAGAAAGCCAGAGGAACCAAAACTTGTGCCTAAAAATAGATCCATTAAGTGTGTAATATTGCAAGACGCTACTGAAGAGATAGGGGCTTGAGCAAAGAGAGACCCAGAGGAAAGCATATGGGAAAAGCCACGATAGAGTTACAAACATTGAAAGGGAAATATTGCAGAACGGCCAACCAGCATGGCAGTTAAGACCTTCCTTGAGCTGCCAGCACTACAGGGAGGGAGAGAGGGTGGTCCAACTCCATCCCTGATCCACCTCCTTACTAATGTGCATCGTGTGATGGACCAGCAGATGGTACACATGCTTGGGTCGCTGCCACCCTGGTGAGACTTGGATTTACTTTGGAGCACCCGGCTTCAGCCGAGCTAAACCCTGAGTGTTGCAGTCATTTGGCATTTGACTGAGTGGTTGAGATACTTCATCTCTCTCTCTCTCTCTTTCTCTCTCTCACCCCTACCCCATCTCTCTGGCTTTAAAAAAATTAACACTTCTAGAAAATAAAGGAAATACTACAGATAAACAGGCTAACAAATCCTGTCTTAAGAAAAAAATGACTAATTTCTTTAAAAAATAGAAATAATCAAAATCAATGAAAGATAAAGTAAAAACCACAAACAGCGCTACATGTATATACTAAAATATTGTATTCATAATAGAAAATCCTTACAGATCCAGATGTGTTCAATAACTTCACATAAGGAAGGAAAAGTATAAAATATAGAAAACATTTTTAGAAAATATAGAAAAAACACTTCAAGATTTATCCCTAAAGCCATTATTTCTAATATGAAAATTGAAACATATTATAAAAGAAGAGGAGGGGCTGGTGAGGTGGTGCAGTGGCATGAACCTCTGCCCCGTGGGTCAGCAGCCTGCATGGGCACTGCTTTTACTTCTGCTTGCTCACCTACCAACCCAACCATTGACTCACGGCCTGGGCAAGCATTGGAGGATCCGTTAAGTCTTTGGCACCCTGCAGCTACATGGGAGAACAGACTGAAGCTCCTGGCTCCTGGCTTCAGAAAGGCCCCGTTCCAGTTACTGCAGTGAAACTGCTTATGGGAGAAGTTTTCTTTCTATATCTCCTTCTCTTTGTGTAAAATTTGCCTTTTTATATAAAATTAATAAACATTACTTAAAAAGGAGTGAAAAAAAATCGAAAGAATGGGTGGGGAGAGAGAAATCATGTCAGAGATATGACGTGTACCTCGGCGCTAGAAATGAGATGAAAAATTCCCTAACAGATGTCATGAAATTGACCCAGAAATATCTGACTAGGATAGAAAGCAAAGATCAAATGAAAATATCCCTCAAAATTCAAAATTGATGAAATACTCAAAATCAACCAGTGTACTTCAGTACAAGGGACTTAGGAAACTCTTAGGTCATTTCAATAGGAGCATTAAAACACTAGATTGAATTCAGTTCCGATCTCAAATAAAAATTTTATAAACTAGAAATAAAGTAGATAGTCTTAGCTTCATGAAAGATACTGGCAAATAAACCAGTAGACTTTTTTTTTTTTTTTGCACAAAAACCGTAAGACACTTTTAGGGAATGAAGGCTGAATGCTTTATTCCCAATACCTGAAACACGCCAATGCCTTTAATCATCATCATTTCTACTCAAGAATATGCTGGAAGGCTTAGCTGGTGCAGAAAGGCAAGGTAAAGATACGATGATAACCAGATAAAAAGGAGCATGAATTTATTTTTTTGTAGAAATTACATTTCCTCATGACAAAAATCCTAAGAACGGATCACAATTTATCAAAGTCCACCAATAAACACTTAAATAATAGAAAAGTAACACACTAAATGAATTTCTATAATGTCAGAAGACAATCAGAAAGGGAAATGAGAAAACGTTAGTGCATAAAAACATTGAAAGAATGAAGTAAATTAGGCTACAATGCAAATTAATAAACTGCCCAAACATGTGCAAAAACTGCAAATAAAAGCTACAAAAGATAAATTAAAACCACAGATATCTGTGAAAAATTCACACTATTCAGTGTTCGGAGTTGGCCGCGTGGGACAGAAGACTTAGCTTCTGTTTGAGATGTCAGCATCATATGTTGGATAACTGTTTGTTAATGTCCACAGGCTGTATAACGTAAGGATAAACCCTGATGTGGATAATGACAAAACCACGGTTCCATCAACTATAGCAAACATACCGTATCACATTACTATTAATAATAGAAAAAACTGTATGTTCCGTTCTTTAAAATGCATTTGAAAATCAATGGGCTGTATTGAAAATCAATGGGCTGCATTGAAAATCAATGACTGTATTACCCTATTTATATAAAAGTTTAGAGAGGTGAAACAAAATTATAAAGACAGAAGTAAGGTTACTGGTTGCATATAGACTGTTGTACATGTGGAGGGGGTCTTGTCTATAATTGAGATCTTTAGAACAATGGAAAATAGGGACCAGAACCAGGGTGTAGGATTGCTAATCTTCCAGCCGGAGTGCCAGCGTCCGATACAAACATCAATTCTGGTTCTAGTTGCTCCTCTTCCTATCTATCCCCCTGCTAATCTCTGGGGAAAGGCGCATTGGATGGGTAAGGCCTTGGGCCCTTGCACCCACTGGGAGACTCGGAAGAAGCCTCTGGTCCCTAACCTCAGATCAGCCCAGCTCTGGTCATTGGAGCCATTTGTGAAGCGTACCTAGGGGTGGAAGATCTCTCTCCTAACTCTTCCCCTTTCTTTACCTCTGACTTTCAAGGAAAATAAACAAAATTCAAAGTAACCACACTCATAGTCTCAAGGTTCAAGGTCGACTGAAAAAGAATTTTTTTAAAAAAGCATAATGAATAGTGTTCTATAGTTTGATGGAACATTTTACAGCGATACCAAAAATTCATCAAATGTTATAAATTAATAGTGAGTTCAATTTTGAATGTTAAATTATATCAGTAAATTTGATCTGCAAAGTAAACAAATGAAAGAAAATCCATCAAAGGAGCAACAAATTGGGCCCAGCACAATAGCCTAGCAGCTAAAATCCTTGCCTTGCACATGCCGTGATCCTGTATGGGCACCGGTTCTAATCCTGGAGGCCCAACTTCCCATCCAGCTCCCTGCTTGTGGCCTGGGAAAGCAGTCAAGGACGGCCGAAGGCTACCTAAGGCACTAGTGTGGGAGACCAGGAAGAGGCTCCTGGCTTCTGGCTTTGTATCAGCTTAGCTCCGGCTATTGCAGCCGCTTAGGGAATGAATCAGTGGATGGAAGATCTTCCTCTCTGTCTCTCCTCTCTGTATATGTGACTTTCTAATAAAAATAAAATAAATCTTTAAAAAAGCAACAAATTAACCGAAGAAATAACAGATCGCTGAAAATCAGACTGATCAATTAATATTCAAGCATGAGACATAATCACAGACTCATTTCGTCGAAATATCTGGTAGAATTCCAAAGTAATAAAACTGTAATAAACTGTGAATATAAAGATGTAGTTACTACACAGGAGATGTTTCTCATTGATTACAAGCCATACTCAATAAAATAGACATATCATTATAAATTTAAACCAGATAAACCAGAGCAATTTGTAGTGATTTTATATTGGAAGCATCAGGACAATCATTCAATTATTTATTCAGCATTTATTAGGAGCATACAGATATGATATGCATGTTTTTTGTCATTAAAAACTTACAGTATAGAGTTGAAACATGACCTTTATCATGCAATTCAATAATGACAAGCATGCCTTGCTCAGAGAGGTTGAAAACTAACGAGAAAATCATGCGGGTGTTTGTACAGATGATTTTTCACTTCCTCTACAATATTACTCCTTAGAAAAATCCACCGAGAGAAATATGAGACTTCAACAAAAATTTTTAAAGAAAGCATGGTTCCAATTGAATTAAGAATATGTTATTGTTCAAAAATACATCAGAGACTTAAACTGTTCAGCTAAATTGTTTACATGCTTTCTAGATAAACAATACAAATTTGATAGCTATGGTTTCATTTCAAGATTTTTGGATTCTTTTGAATAAATATTGGATG